AGAAAAACATCTACTTCTGCTTCATTGACGATGCTAAAGCCTTTGACTGTGTTGATCACAACAAATTGTGGCAAGTTCTTAAAGAGATGGGAGTACCAGACCATCTTATTTGTCTCTTGAGAAACCTATATGCGGGTCAAGAAGCAACAGTGAGAACTGGGCACGGAACCACTGATTGGTTCAAAATTGAGAAAGGAGATCGGCAAGGCTGTATACTGTCGCCCTGCCTATTTAACTTATATGCAGAGCACATCATGAAAAAGGCGGGGCTGGATGAATCACCAGTTGGAATCAAGATTGCTGGGAGAAATATCATCAACCTCAGATATGCAGATGATACCACTCTAATGGCAGAAAGTGAAGAGGAACTAAAGAGCCTCTTGATGTGGGTGAAGGAGGAGAGTGCAAAAGTTGGCTTGAAACTCAACATTAAGAAAACTAAGATCATGGCATGCGGTCCTATCACTTCCTGGCAAATAGATGGGGAAGAAATGGAGGTAGTGACAGATTTTATTTTCCTGGGCTCCAAGATCACCACAGATGGGGGCTACAGCCAAGAATTTAAAAGACGCTTGCTCCTGGGGAGGAAAGCTATGGCAAATCTAGACAGCATACTAAAAAGCAGAGACATCATCCTGCCAACAAAAGTGCATATAGTCAAGGCTGTGGTTGTCCCAGTTGCAATGTATGGCTGTGAGAGCTGGACCATAAGGAAGGCTGAGCGCCGAAGGATTGAGGCCTTTGGATTGTGGTGCTGGAGGAGACTCCTGCGAGTCCTTGGGCCGCAAGGCGATCAAACCGGTAGTCCTAGAGGAGATCAACCCCGACTGCTCTTTAGAAGGCCAGATCCTGAAGATGAAACTCAAGTACTTTGTCCACCGAATGAGAAGGAAGGACTCCCTGGAGAAGAGTCTGATGCTGGGAACAAGTGACGGCAAAAGAAGGAGGGGGCGGCAGAGGATGAGGTGGCTGGATGGGGTCACTGGGGTGGTGGGCGTGGGCTTGGGTGGACTCCGGGAGATGGTGGAGGACAGGAAGGCCTGGAGGAATGTGGTCCATGGGGTTGTGATGGGTTGGACACGACTTCACAACTAACAGCAACAACAAGGGCTAGTGGTGTGCACCAGGGTAGGGTTAGGCCAGTGGTGGCAAACCTGTGGCACGGGTGGCACAGTGGGCAAGCAGAGCCCTCTCTGTTGGCACACGAGCCCAGTCGCCCCAGCATCACCTCAGCAGGCGAGCGTCAGGTAACAGCGCACACAGGGGCCCTGCGCATGCTCGGAAAGGAGTAGCGGCGCCAGGGGATGACGTCCCGAGCCGCAACTCATTAGCCGCGACTCATCCGAGCTTTCGCATTGCCGGTCAGTGCACTGCCAGGCATATATATATATTTGCTTGGACTGGCTGTGAGTTGTTTTTTCTAAACTCAGACCTCAGTATTCAGGTTTGATTGCAGGGTTGGCACTTTGCGATAAGTGGGTTTTGGGTTGCAGTTTGGGCACTCGGTCTCTAAAGGTTCACCGTCACTGCCCTAGGATATGGAACGGGCTTCCACGGAGGAGGTTGAGGCTGCATTAGTGAAGGTTTCCGGGGAATGATGGGACACCCACATGTTGGGGATTACGTGAGCAGAGCTGGCTTGTGCCGGGGGTCAGACTAGATGGCCTGGGAGACCCCTCCTGACCTGCTCTGTTTTTGTGCCTGTTCCTGGTCCTCTGAGTGCAGCTCTTCCAGCACCATTCTTCACCGGGGGAACCAGCTTTCTTGCTGCTGTTGTGAAATGGCGAGAGAGAGCTGCGGTTCCGGGCTGGAATGCCCAGGGATCTCCCGGTCCCGCTTCCGCCCTCGTGGGCCCTGCAGAGCCTGGGCATCTGCTTCTGTGGCGGGCCTGGGGGGAGGGGGGGTTGCCGGCACCAGCCTGGAGCCCAGCAGCAAGGGCAGGCCCAAATCCCGGCATGGCTCTGAAGGGCGCCTGGCTCGGAGTGGCTGTGCAGCTGACCTGCAGGTGCCCTGCAACCGCCCCAGCGGCCACATGCCTGTGCGAGGGGGCGCCTCTGAGCCCCCCTCCCCCCGGGCCTGGCACCGCCTGGCTGCAGAGCTGCTGAGCCCACACCTGGCTCCGCAGAGCCCTTTGCACGAACCTCTGGACCATAAAACACAGAGCACACCCATGATCGGCAACGGGTAGGGCTGTCTGAACCCCTACCCAAGGTTGCAGGAAAAGGCGCAGACCCCAGTGTGCTGGCAACTGCGGATTGAAAGCAGGTTTCTAGCCCGTCGGAGAGTCCAAGTGAGCTTGAACGCCCGCGAGCAGCACCCAGAAGGCCGTCCTGCCTCCTGCCCGCCCGCTCGCCCGGGGGGAACCGGCTGCAAAGGCAGCCCGGGCGACGGCGCGCTCACCGCCGCTGGCTCGTCTCCAGGTGGCGATCAAAATCATCTCGACGGCAGAGGCCCCGGCGGAGTACACCAAGAAGTTCCTCCCGAGGGAAATTTACTCCCTGAACGTCACCTACAAGCACCTCAACGTGGTGAGCCAGTCCCCCGCGGCGCCCGGCTGCCCCCGCGGCGGCGCGCTGCCAGATCCTTTGAAGGGCACTTTGGCCCCACGATGCAGGCGTGGGAGCCCCCCCGCCCCCCGTGGGAGGCCAGGAGCAGCTCGCCAGCGGGGCCCGGAGGGCTTCAGAGACCGCCCCCCTGGCCCCCGCGGGACATGGGCCCTTCCCTTCCCTCCGCGGGGGTGTCCCTGACAAGTCCCCCCGCCTGTCCGGAGAGGCGCCCGCTTCTGGGCCGTGGCCCTTCGTATCTCGCCTAGGGACGTTTTCCTTCTAATGAAAAGCGCTGCGGGGTGGAAGGTGCTCATTTGCTTGATGCGACTTCATTTCTGGATATTGCCGCCATTATTATTTCTTACATTTATTACTATATACTTAATTTCTCTGCTGCCCAGGAGCCAGAGCTCTCTGGGCAGTTTAAAAACAGAACAGTACAATGCAGTCTAAAATATGCCACAGTGTAAAACAGAAGGCTGCCAAACAACCTTTCAGACACACGGAAATTCCTCAAAAAACCAAGTCTTGGGACCTGCGTAAAGGAATGAAAAGCCGTGCAGTGGAGGGGAGACTCCCGGGGGGCACACCCGGGCCCAAGTGCCCGCCGGGTGGCTGCCTCAAACCCCTTCCAGACCCACAAGCCCCCGAGGATTCCGAAGGCAGGGGCCATTTCACACCGGCTGGTCCCGAGCACAGCCGGCCGGTGGGGGGGCCCGTGGGGGGCCCGTGGGCCGGGCAGCCATGGGCCCCTCAGTGTGTCGGCTCCCCGGCAGATCCAGCTCTACGAAATGTACCGGAACAGCAAGCGCGCCTACCTGGTTCTGGAGCTGGCCTCCCGGGGGGACCTCCTGGAGCACATCAACGCCACCTCTGACCGGAGGGAGCACCCCGGGCTGGAGGAAGAGGAGGCCCGCAGACTCTTCCGCCAGATCGTCAGTGCCGTCGCTCACTGCCACAACGCGGGCATCGTGCACAGGTGATGGGCCGCTGGAGCAGGGGGCGGGGGCCGGATGCGGCGGGCCAGGAGCACCTCCCAGAGTGAAGGGCACAGCCCGCGGGGGGGGCAGCTAAGGGCTGTGATGGAGCGGGGCCCCGGGCCCCCAAGGGGGAAGCTGCTCCTGTGGGGGGGGGGGGGCGTTCTCTGCACTCAGCCAGAGGATGCCGCTGGCCGCTCCACAGTTTGACTCCGGCTCTCATCCAGCCGATACGAAGGTGCCAAGAGCCTCGTCTGAGGGTCCTGGGGGCCATTCCCAGACTGAGCCCTTCCCCCCCCCAGCTCCCGCTGGCGGATGGACACCAGCCCTGCCCCCCGCAGCCCCCACCCTCCAAAACCTGCCGCGAGCGAGCAGCGCCTCAGGCGAGGACTGCGAGCGGATCCGGCGGTGGCCCCGGCCCCTCAGCGGTCCGGCTTCCTTGGGGGGAGCAGAGGGCACTCGCTGGCCACGCAGCCAGCATCCCACGTGGACGGTGCCACGCCTGCGGGAGCCGAAAGGGAACGCACGCTGGCCCAGGGCCCACTCCCTCCCTGGCCGTTCTGTTTCTCCCAGAGACTTGAAATGCGAGAACATTTTGCTGGATGAACGAGGCTTCATCAAGCTGACAGGTGAGCCGGCAAGCGCCCATCGCGCCTCAACATTCTTTGCCTCGGGGGGGCACACGACGGCGGCAGGAGGCAGCTCACGCCAGTGAGCCACTCTTGGCGGGGCACCCAGTCTCATCATCGCCTGCCCGGGGATGCTGGGACCAAGCCAGCTTTGCCCTCCGAGTACCAGAGCACCTTTCCCATGTCCGGGCTCAGCCCCCAGGCGAGAACGGCTCCTTCATTTCCGCGAGGGATTCCCTGGCCATGCAGGCCGGGGCACACTTGGGACGGGCTCTGGGACCTCCGCAGGATCAGGGCAGCCGTGGCTGACGTCTCCCACCCCGACCAGCTACAGGCCGACAAAGCCAGTCTTGCTGATAGACCTAACGGGGCGGGGGGAAATATGGATGGGGGCTGGGACTGGGGCTCCAGCAGGCCTTCCCGGGACGCCTCCTTCCTGAGCTTGCTCGGCAGCACCGCATCCTGCTGCTGCAGCGGCTCCCGGTCCTGCTTCTCGTCATAAAGAAACGAGCCGCATTTGTGGAGAAGAGCACGGTTCACACACCCTCGTTTGGGTGTGCGTCAAGCACCTCAAAAGGAGACCTTGACTCCTTCCCCCGTGGCTTCCTTTGCGAGATCCAGGTCCCATAGCCGGGAACAATACCTGGGCACGCACCAGGTTGTGGAGGGATGCGCGTGGCTTGCCTGGAGCAAGTCGCAGGCCAGACAATCCCGAGTGCTGTCCAACTCTGCTTCTGTTGCAGATTTTGGTTTTGCCAACCGTTACTCTCTGAAGAACTCACTAATGAGCACGTTCTGTGGCTCCGTGGCCTACACCGCCCCCGAGATCCTCATGAGCAAAAAGTACAACGGGGAGTTGGCGGACCTGTGGAGCCTGTGAGTGCCACGGGGGCCGGTCCACGGCGGCACGGAGGCGGCCGGCGGGTGGGCAGCAGGCCCCTGCAAGGAGGCCGGCAAGCCTGTCCTGCTGGGGGGCTGTCCCAGGCTGGAGAGCTGCCCGGCCGCTCTGGGCACAGGCCAGAGAACCCCACGCCTCTGCCCCCCAAGTGCCGCCCAGTGACGGCTCGCCCTGTCCTGCCCTGCCCCCTCCAGGGGGGTGATCCTCTACGCCATGGTGACCGGCAAGCTTCCGTTCAAGGAGCGGCAGCCGCACAAGATGATCCACGTGATCAAGCAGGGCCTCGCCTTCCGGCAGCCCATCTCCCCAGGTACGAGCCGCGCCGCCCGGCCGGGCCCCTCCGCCTTCCCAGGGCCCTGGAGCGGCCAGAGCAGGGAGGGGGCCGCTGGGGTCCCGGGCTGCCCTCCTCCACGGGCTCCCCTCCGCACGCTCGACGCTGCGCCGGGCATGGCTGTGGTGTGCCAGGAGCCACGCTTTGGGGCCCTCCCGCACGGCCAAGCGCGCCACGGGGCCCAGGGCTCCACCGCGGCAGCCACCAGGCGTGGGGCGGCTGGCCCCGGAGGCTGTGTGCCGACCGCAGCTGGGCCGGCCTGGGCTGGGCCAGTACCCGGAGCAAGTGGCCAGCCCAACTTAGCTCCCCGTGCGCTGCTCTGGGCCGGCGGTGGGGCAGCTGGGGGGAGACATCTCGCCCCATTCAGGAAGGAGCCCCGGCAGCAGCCCATCACTCCCAGTCTCCCAGGCAGAGCCCCCCACTTAGCCCTGGGGTCCCACACACATCCGGCGCAGCCATGCAGCCAGGTGCACCCCACTGCCCAGCCGAGGCGCCTGGCGAGCTCCGGGAGGGGTGGGCTGCGCAGGTGGAAGGGCAGCCCGGAGCTCTGGGGCTGCGCCAGCAGGGCAGCCGCGCGTCGGTCCGGCCCAGCCCACGGCTGGCAGGAGGCAGGTGCTCGGGCTCAGCCAGGCCAGCCAGCCCAGCTGGTCTGGCGAGGGGCCGGCCGCTGCCCCACAAGAGCTGCCGCCCGGGTTCTGCTCGTGGGGGGCCACGGGCGGGACGTGGGGCGCAGCCGGCTTCCTCCTTCCTCCCTCTTTCCGGCTGCAGAATGCCAAAACCTCATTGAGGGGCTGCTGCAGCTGAAGCCGGCCGCCCGCCTGGGGCTGCAGCAGGTGGCCACGCACCGCTGGATGCTGCCCGCCACCTCCGCCATCTTCCACCGCGTGATGAGCTCCATGGGGGTCCATCCCGAGTGCGGCGCAAGCCCGGAGAAGTCGCAGGTGGCGCCAGGCACGTGCCCCGGTTCCCCACGCCCCACGGGCGCCCCCTCCCACGCCCCACGCCCCTGCCACTCGAGCAGCCGGCCCGACGCCTGCCGGACCACGCGCTGCCGGGGGCCGAGCCCCCCGGGCCCCCGGCGGGGCCGGCCAGCCACAGCTGTGCTCTCGCTCCCTCTGCAGGAGAGGCCGGGGGCGCCGCCTCCCAGCTGCCAGACCTCGAGAGCACGGCCCGGACGCCGGAGGGGCCGGCCAAGGAAGGCACGGCCCTGCCCACGCCCCGGGCCTCCTCCGCCAGCGGCGCCTTCCCCACCCGGGCCAAGGCGGAGAAGAAGGGGCCCGAGGTGGCGGCCGCCAGCTGCGTCCTCCAGCTGCCCTGCCCGCGCAAGACCGAGCGCCCCCCGCGGCTCTCCCTGTACCGGCCCAGCCTGCTCACCACCCTGCAGCCCTTCCACCACCTGCCCAACTTCCGCAAGCCGGGCTCGGCCTTCTCGGCCAGCGCCTACGCGACCAGCAAGCGGCTGGTGGAGAAGGTGCCGGCCCGGGCGGCCGCGCTGGGCGGGGGCTCCTCCAGCCTCTCCCAGCAGGTCCACTCCCTCTACACCCTGACGCCGTGCCCGTGACCCGCCGGCCCCCCGCCCAGCACGGGCCGGCGGGGTGGGGGCCCGTCGCACAGGCCCGGCCCCCGTGCAGCCCAGCGCCGCAGGACCAGATGCCGCGAGCACTATTAAAGGTTATTCAGCCCCACCGCAGCGCTTGCTGAGCCGTGTGCGCCGCCCTGGGCACTCGACGCGGGCGGGGACGGGAGAGGCGCCCCCTGGCCGTCATGAGCTGCTCGCCTGCCGCTCTTCCACATACACCCATGTACCTCTTGCCCCCTCTGTCATCGTGAGCATGTGGGCCCCACGGCCGTGGGGCAGAGCCGAGGCAGAGCTTCCTGCCCCGCAGGGACTGGCAGGCCCCGGCCAGCACGGCCCTGCTGCACCCTCCTCCCAGCAAGAGCCCGTCACTGCTCGACGGCGTAGCAGCCCGAGCGGTGCCTTCCGAAACGTGGCGCCGGTGGCCCCCCACACTTCTGCCCAAGACGCTCCGCCCACCGCACGCCAGGCCGTGCGCGGCGTCCGCAGCCCAGGCCCTTTCGGCTCCGTGTGCCCGCTGGCCCCGGGCCGACTCCCCTCCAGACGCGGGGCGGGTGCCACAGGGCCACGTGAGGAAAGGGGGCTCCCACTCGAGCCCTCTAGGGGATCGGTTGAGGGGCCTCTGCCGGCGGGGAGGCACTTCTGCGCCCAAAGGGCCCTCCGCACCACACACCTCCTGCCGGCCCCTTCCCTCTCACATGGGGCCTGCAGCCCTGCCCCAGCCCCCTTGCAGCCGAGAGGTGCCGGGCCCTCCCCCTTGCCAGCTGCCGTTCGGGCCTCCCAGCCCGCCCACTGCGCTCCGCCCGCATCCCCCAGCGCCCACACGGCCTCCCGCTGCCCCCCTCATGCCGGCATCACTGGGGTCGGGCGGGAACACCCGGCGCTGCCCAGCCCGCCCAGGGAGCCCCACGCCGCATGGCGCCCGGCCAAGGGCTCTCCTGCTCTCACGCCCGTGCCGGAGCAGCGGGTGCCAGGAGGACGGCGCTGCCTTTTGGCAGACGGGGAAGGGGCCTTCACGCCTGCCCCACTGCTCCCCAACCCAGCTCTGCTGTCCTTTGCCTCGGGGCTCCCCCATCACCAGGTTGCTCCCGTCCCCCATAGTTCCTGTGTCTTGCAGGCTGGGCCCCCGGCAGCCCCCGGCCCCTTCCACCCTGAGTCGCGTCGAGCCTCCCTCAGCGTGGGAAGAGCCGCAGAACCAGCCGACCGCCCCTCTTCTCCCTGCTGCTCCGGCCTTTGTCCGTGGGCAGGCAGTGCCCCCCCGCCGGGGGCTAGAGAGACAGGCGAGGCGGCGCAGGGAGCCCAGGAAGGGGCCGTGTCCAGGGGGGCACATAACCGAGCCGAGCCCACGCCTTCGGTGCTGGCAACGATTTATTGGGGCGCAGCCCATCAGCGTGGCCACCCACCCCCCCTTCGCCCCCGTGGGCGGTGTCCAGTCAGGAATGCGCAGGCTGCTCCCCACCGGCCCAAGCAGCCACGCGGCAGCTCTGCTCCCAGCATCCCCGGCACATCCTCGGCCACTGCGCTGCGGGACGGGGTGCCGGAGGGGTCCCCTGGAGCAGAGGGAGGCACCCAACGGCTCTCTTCCACGCCGCAGCCGGCCTTCACCCAAGCAGTCCTTCTGCGCACAGGGCAGGTTGCTCGCCCGGCTCCGGCTGCTGCTCCGCCGCCTCCCGGTCCAGGCGCCGCAGCCGCTCCTCCACCTCGGCAGGGACCTCCACCTCCAGGAGGTTCTCCATCCCGGCCTCGGGCTCATCGCTGATCAGGACCTGGGCGGGACAGACCGACCCGGCCTCAGCGGGGGGAGCAGGGCCCTCCCGCCCGTCTCCCCCCAAGCCTCTGAGGCTGGTGGCTGCCCGGCAGACCCCATGCCGACCCACAGGCCCTGGCAGAACGAGGGGAGACACCCCCCCCCCCGCGATGCAGGATGGCTGCCGCTCTCAAGTACCCCCACAAGCCCCAGCTTCTTCCGGCAGCCCGATCACCCCCGACGCGTGGCGCTCTCCCTGTGCCCCCAGACACCCCCAGAGCCCTTTGCCAGAGCCCTTCGCTCTGCTGAGGGAGGCCCCCCTCCCCCTGTGCGCCCAGCGAGCGGCTCTGGGGCGGCCCGTCCCTCACGCAGAGTGCCTTCGAAGGCCTCGCCCGGCCTGGGCCGCTGCCCGCCCTGCCCCGCGAGCGATGATGCCCCACTCCGACGCAAGGCAAGGCCGGTTCCGGCCTGCCGCACGCGCTGGAAGACGCCCACGCTCGCGGAGCGCTTGCACTCGTGCAACGGCCCCGCAAAGCCCCCAGAATGAAGCGAGGGGGGGCAGGGCTGGGCAGCCCCCCGCCACTTACGTGGATGACCTTCTCGCACGCGGCGCGCGCCCCGGCATCTGCCTCCCAGCCGTGCAGCTCCCGCAGGACCAGGTAGGTGCCCTTCGCCCGCAGCAGCTGCCGCCCCTTCTTGGTGGCCGTGAGCTGGCAAGAAACACGCACGCTCAGCTGCCGGGGGCCCTGCCCAGGGACCCAGGCGCCCGGAGACGAGGGCGGACCCCCCCTCCGTGACGCCGCTGGAGCTGCCGCCGCTACGCAGAGCATTCAGAAACGGAAAGGGCCTTATCCCCAAAGACTGCGGGGAAAAGGAGCCGAAGAGGCCCACCGGCTCTGCCGGCACAGGCTTTTCCGTGCCAAATTTCAAAAAGGGGACAAGACAACGGGAGGGGAAAGCTTTAGAAAGCACAGGCTAGATGCACTGGCTCCGGCGAGGCCTGGCGGGCACCTGAGTGTCCTCTCCACAATACCGCTGAATTGGGCCGCAGCTGCTCAAGCCCAGACAGCGGCCTGGCGCGACACCCCCTTCGGGGGGGGCGGTCCCACACCTCCCCAGACACAGGCTCCCGCGTGTGGCACTGAGGCCGGCCAGCAGCCCTCGCACCCGGCACCCAGCCTGCAGGGCCCGTGCGCGCTCACCAGCAGGACGGCCTCCAGGAGCATCTTGCGGATGTCGGGGTCGGGCTCCCGCTGCTTTTCGGGTGGCAAGTACTGCAGGTCCAGGGGCAGCCCTGGGAGCGAGAGAAGCCGGCTCAGGCAAGGGCAGGGAAGGGCCCAGGCGCCCGAGGACTGACGGGGCGCGCCCCCCCCGGCGGCCAAAGCGCTGGGCCCAGGGCTCGGCCAGGCGGGCGCCGCTGCACCCCGGGCTGAGCAGAACCTGAGCCCGGGTCCGGCAGCAGGGGCCCCGCCCCACAGAACAGAACGGAACGCACTCTCCATCTCGTCCTCGGGGAGCTCCTCCGGGCCGGCCAAGGGCAGCAGGAGGAAGGGCAGCAGGTCCACGTCTTCGCTCAGCAGCCACTCATGGGCCCCTGCGGGGAGATGGCAGCGCTCGGCACAGCAGCCCCGGGCGCAGACCCCAGGCGGGGGGGCGCCCGCCCAGAGCCCCCCCGCGCAGGGGCGTCCTCCACAAGGGCCGGGCAGCCCTCCCCACACCCAGCGCCCGCGGGGGGAACCGGGGGCCTCCGCTCACCGTAGTCGAAGCAGCAGTTGCGCAGCGTCCCCACC